TCCCCAAAGTCATGGCCTCCCCAAAAACAAAGGCAGAACAAAGTCAGTGAGCACAGGGTTGGAAATGCAGCATCTTTCCTCACATTACATATTAAAATGATGACAATTTGATATTTCCTACTTATGGAAATATTCAAGGTAATTACACACATTTTGTAACTACTGAATTTTTTTTTTACCATCAAAATGTGCAGAATAAATTCCTGTTACCTAAATGATGACCTTCAACTAAAGAAGTGAGTGAAAAAATGTTGCTGCTAAATTATGATCAATGCCATCACCACAAATACCAACAACATCAGCACTGGTATTCCCAGGAAAGACATAATGCCTGTCCTATTACCCAAAATCTGTGTTTTSTTATATTAGGATATTTTTGGGGATCTGTCCTAACCACTTGCCTATTTCTTTTGCTTGTTGAGGTAAATAACACTCATAAGACTTCAGCAGCAAAACAGTAGAACACAATATGAGGAAGGAGGCACATAGAAATTGGTRTTTTGCTTATTTGCAATTATTGTATAAAGCACCCATTACACTTTGTAGGGGGTTCTGGTAGTTTTGTTYCTGCTGTAAATTTTTGTCACAATGACAGTCAGCTTGCTAGCAGTACATTGGGAGTACTAGCAGTACTCAGGGTTCTATGAAACATTCTTATTTATTTCTGCATCCCCAAAAAATGGTCTTTAGGAATCTCTGGTACTAAATGACAACATTAAAGCTGATTATCAGCCTTCTGGTTGGATCCAGAAAGAAGGAAGGAAGGAATTAGCTAGATGGAACCAGGCACAGGGCAAATGCAAAGAGTTGAACAGAGAATGCATTTCATGAACCAAATATTACATCCCTATAGGCAACATCCCTGGTAAATACCGTGGAAAAAAAAAAAAGAAATCTATTGGAAAACCACTGTAGATTTACGCAGGTCGGACTGATTCTATCTCACATCAACAACTGTGTGTTTGACAGTTTATCTGACACCTCCACCCACCAGCAGCTTGGCGAGCTGTCAAAACAAACAGGACAGCAGCACACAACAGAAGTTGTGCTGCCAGGATGGCAAGCAAGGAAAATSTGCATTTCCTCATTATTGAGTCTTTCACTCCGAGCCCAAAGCCAAGGCGTAGGTAGCTCGAGGGGTAGGGCTGTCGATCACAAACTGTGGAGCTGGCGATGCCAACACAGAGTGCTTTTCCACAGAGGGAGAGAGAGAGAAATCTTAATAAAATATCATATGTTTTATTTCTATATGAAGACTAATCCCCACTATTTTTACATCCCAGCTTTTCCTGCAGCTTGTGGCCCTTGGACTCCTCTGTAAGTTCAACAGAAAAAACGCTGTTTCCTGCACATGGCTGGCAAATCTCAGCTCTGATTTTGTAGAACCACACAATCTCCCTGTTTCCAGATAAAAAACATCTTCTGTGTGGAAATAAGAAACTATCCATGACAGCGAATTGTAATCTTGAGTTTCAACTACGTCTGTTTTTCCCTTGTGTTTTGTACTTGTAACACAATGTGCTGAAATTTCTTCCAAAAGACATTTGAATACATGATTTTTTGGACTTCCCTTCTTCTGGACATACTTCTCCCTCTCTGCTGACTCTCTGGTTTGTGTTATGCAGACAAACATTATTAATTCTCCATGCCATCTTCTGATAAACTTGGCTTCCATGCAGRATGAGACTGGAACATGAATATACCCCCATGAAAATCTAAGGTACTTTGTTATACTCTACACTCTTTTTCCCCCCTTCTTTTCTTTCTAAATGTGGAACTACTTAAGCTTGGTTTTTCAGGGTGTGTTCTTTTTTGTGATTCTTTTCTTCTGGAAAACCTTCATCAAAATGGACTGCCTATTTCTAAATGTCTAGGGGAAAAAGATTTGATTTTGAAAACTCATGCCTTTTTTTGTTTTTGTTTATTCCTATTATGGAAGCTGCAGCAGCCACAAGAAATTTGGCAGGGACATAACCTTTGAGTCAACATARCACATTTTGTTATCCATGTGAAAATATGCCCCAATAAGGTCAGTTAAAAARTTTTGAGAAATTGCAGGTCACAGCAGCTCTTTTCCAGATCTGACAAGCCGAAATATCAGAGATTTCTGTCAAAAATCTCTGAGCACTTAATGCTGTCCAGTTGTTAATGAGCAGTGCCTGAGGAGTGACCCAGCACCCAGGWCCCCCTTACAACATTTTGGGCCAGCAGCTTGCTGGGTTTCAACAAATGAGGGAATTACACAGCCTAAACCAAAATACACAAATAAAATCAATCAAGTCAAAATCAATCCAAAACAACACTCTTCAGTTCAGTAGAAAACCYTATAAATAGAAAATGGGAGCAATATTCAAGCCATACAAATAAAAACTCCCCGTGGGTATGGGGAAAGTCTTTAACTTCAGGGGCCAGTTTAATATGCTTTGGTATAAAAATGCTATAATTAATATTAACTGTATTACAGGGGACATTATCCACTAAGAGTGACACAAATGTGAGCCTGGGGCTTTTGCTGKCCACAATCCACATTTTTAACGTGTAAGGCCAGGTGAAAAAAGGAATCTATCCCAACCGCTATGTAGGGGTCCAAAGAAAGCTGCAGCCTGSACAGTTTGAACTCAATCCCGTGGGGTACAGCAGGGAAATGTCAGAGGTAGAAGCCACCCAAGCAGAGTTGCTCCTCCAAAAGCCTCTCCTCTGTGAGRCACCTTTGCAGAAGCTCCCTCCAGGCAGAGTTCCCTACAGGCAGAGTGGATTCTGTCCCTGGAATGACCTCATACAGATGTGGGCATGAAGAGGCCATGAACATGAATGAGTAGGATGTGCTGGGCATTGCTCAGGAATTGAAATTTCATTAATTTCAGGACCACAYTTTGCTTTAAAGAATAGATAACTCCAGAGCTGCCTGTCAGGGTTTGAGCTTCAYKTCAGAAACACTGGACAAATRTTTTTAAAAGCCACAACACCACTGCTGGGATGATCACACAATACAAAAAGCACCTTGCTTACACCTCATACACATTCCATGTACTTCTAGTGAAGAACCAGTTAATCCCAAGGTTTCCTATCCTTTCTTGCAAGCACCAGGTGGAAGGAGAGGAGACAGTAATATTATCAGATGAGTCAACTGCAAATTTAATTTCAGTGATACAAACAACAAGTCATAATTGGAGTCAGAGAGATGTTGAGGGGAAATCCTGTCCATACTGGAGCATGATTTACTATCTATTCCAYCAGAAGCAGAACTCTAGACACAGATTACTTTTTCTTCWAGATGAGAAAGCAGGATTGTCTGGCCCCTTGCAGAAGTGAGRTGTGGGCATGTTGGTACAGGAATCGTAGTGACAAAGAAGCTGTGAGTAAAGCAAAGTGGGCCAGAGTCTGATCAGAGTTTAATCCCCAACTATGAATGGCAGTGTAGAGTAAAGATGGATTAAATATTAAATAAGGCATTTATTGTCTGTTTTTCAAAGGCTGCTTTCTTAAAACGATGCCTGTTCTAATTCATAACAGGCAAACACCAATCTCTGTGTCACTGACACAGGGTTTCCATTGGCATGAAAAATGTTCCTGTAGCCCAGGAGTGCTGTGACAYATTCATTCACCACTGACAAATTTTCAGGGACTGTGAGCACCCTGAAATTTTCTGCTTGTCTCCATTTCAATCCCCCCACACCAGGTTTCGGTCCAAGGCATAGATGTTACTTCACAACTCAGTGATTTTGGACTTGTGAGGCAAGATACCACTTAAAAACGCTCAAAGCATTTTCTGAGACACTGCAACAGGCTGGGAACCTGAGGGAGCAAGGCACCCTGAAGGGAACAAGAGCTTCCCCCAGCTCTAAAAGCCATATGAACAGGATGTTGCCATCAGCTGCACACAGGATGGGTGGTAATTCCCTAAGGACACTGTGTACAGGAACCCTAAGGATCAAGACCAAATGTCTCATGCCAGCAGGAAAATTACCAGGCATCTGGTAAAACTAAAAAGCAAGGAAATATAGGTCCAGATTCTTTCTTTCTGTTTGGTGATACTACAGATTATTTGCATAATTACATATTCACAAATAATTATTTAAACAATCACTGTTCTTTTAGTAAATGAAATAACGTAATTAAGTGAACCATTTGGTATTTCATGCATTAATTCACTGCAGATTAACCAAAGAAAAGCCTCTGACTCCTTCTCAATACCAATAAAACCTAACTTTACCCACACCAATAGTGGCTGAATAGTATCACTGAAGCCACACAACCACAGAATTCACCTTTTCTGAATCTCTGGTGAGGTAAGGACTGCCTGAAAACTGAGACCTGGCCAAAGCTGCCAACACAGCATGGACCTGATGGACAACCTGGACACTAATTTCCTCCAACACAGCAACATTCTCATCTTAGGTAACATTAAAATAATTAATTAATGTGTTGGTTTAAAGCATAAAGATGAGGGACCATGATGCAATTTCTGCTGTCAAAGTAATCTGAAGAGTATTTTGGGAAGTGTTGCCTRGTAAAGTGCGAGGAGCCCATGGCCCTGGGGGAATTGGGCTGTCTCCAGTGCAGCCCTTCTCACCGCACCAAAACCTAACCTACAGATATCCCCAGACGTTTATCCTGCAGCATTTTTCCAAACAAAACCATTGCCACCGCTGCATGAGCAGCCTAAAAAAACCCACGTCAAAACCCCGTTTTTCTCGGGATGCACCAATCCCAACCCGCATCCCCGTACCCCGGCCTCGTCCCGCACCTGCGGACACCGCCAAGTCACTTTYCCCCCCCCGATGAGCCCAAACCCASGCAAGGAGCAGCAATTGTCCCTAACACAGCGACACGGATCACTTTCCCTTTTCTCCCCCGAGTCACCCGAAGCCCCCGGGGCTCTGGCACCGCGCTCGCCCCTCGCCACCCCCGCGCCCCGCCCGGCCCCGCTCCGGGAGCGCTCCCGGCGGGATGTCCCGGGGGAAGCGGGCGGGGGCCGCYCCGTCCCGSCCCGGACCCACCTGAGATGCCGCCCCCGATCACGATCACATCGTATTTCTCGGCCATGGCGCTGTCCCCGCTGTCCCCGTCCCCGCTCCGGCCACAGCCGCCGCTCTGTCCCGGCCCCGCCGCTCGGACAGCGCCGTCCCGCCCGCCCCGGCCCCGCCCCTGGGCGTGGCCACGGGATCCTTCCACCAATGGGAGCTGTGGGGGGCGGGGCATTGCCTGACCGCGCCCTCCCGGTGCTCGCCCCGCTCCCGGGCGGCGCGGTCCGACGGGGCGGGGCATGCTCGGGAGCACCGGGAGCACCGGGAGCACCGGGAATGCCGCATCCCGGGGCGCGGATCGGGCCAGGAGGGATGGAGGCGGCGGGCGGCGGCGAGCCCGGTGCAGGGGCAGCGTAGGAACCGGGCAGCGCTCGCTTAACCCCGCGCTGGTGACTCACAGGGACTGCGGGAGAGCGGCCAGATCCACCGAGCCGGAGGTTTCAGCGGTCTCCAATCCTCACCTCCTGCYAGAACCAAGTCGTGCTGGATCCACRAGCCAGKGAACAAAGGGTTAACCTTTCCACGGACTTACCTTCCCAAAGACAATGCCTGAAAAAAATAATCGGTTGCCAAAATTCTGTTTGTAATTAGCCACTCTTACTACTCTGGAACACACGGTGGTTGTGATACTTCTTGCCATGCGTTTGACAGCTCGCAGAGGTTTTATTGCCAAAGTGTTAATGTCATCTCTGTGAAGTGAGTGGAAAAAATAGAGAGCCTGTCCATCYCCTTCCAAGTAAGCATAGGAAGCTTTAAAATTCCCACAGTTGCAAAAAATCCTAATGCTGTTTCATGTTAAATATTGGTATAAGTTCTGACAGTCACCCAGTTCTGCAATCATATTCCACGCCTGGGTATGACCAAGGAATCCAGCGAGGATGCCATACTTTTTAGCTGGTGTTCTAGGAAATGAGTCTGTTTTGCCTTCTGTAGGGAAAATACTTYTCTTTGGGAAAATATAGGACCTTTGGTCTGTGTAAATTGTGCCAAATGAGTGAGATGCAGAAAAGGGCTACAAAAAAAAGCTCTGGAGCACCTCTTCTATGAGGAATGTCTGAATGAGCTCTGTTTGTTCAGCATGGAGAGGCAAAAGCCTCTGGAGAGACCTTATTGAGGCCTTTCAGTACTTAAAGGGGGAYTRTAAGAAACAKGAGGACAGGRTTTTTAGCAGGGCCTGTTACAATAGGACAAGGAGTAATGRGTTTAAACTGAAAAAGAGCTGATTTAGGTTTGCTATAATGAAGAGTTTTTACAACGAGGGTGGTCAAACACTGTAATTGGTTGCYCAGAGARACTATGGATGSCACATCTCTGGAAACACWCAAGGTCAGGTTGCTCTGAGCARCACAGTCCAGTTGAAAATGTCCCTGCTCATTGCAGGGCAAGTGGGCTGGCTGAGCTTTAAAGATCCTTCCAACCAAAGCCATTCTGTGATTCCRTGACAGCAGTGCCTGAATGCAGAAACATCTATAAATCACTAAGCAACAGTGTGAGAGACAGAATAATGGATCTTCTTCACAAATAAGAGCAGGTAATTTACAAAGTGTAAGTGTGGAGCTGAGTGAGTGTCTCACTGCAGACACAGAAGCACAGACACTGCAGCAAGAACAGGATTCCTGCTGCTCTGGGGATCATCTGCTGACACCGAGCTCCTTATCACCGGGAGTGCTGCTGCTCCGTGCCAGGGTAAAGGGAACAAAACACAAACAAGCCAAAGGTTTGAGAATGGTATGGATCCTGAAACAAAAAACCCAATGTGCCAACACTCCTTTGTGYTTAAAGGGGAAAAGAAGTCTTTGTTTCCCGAGGGAGATAAGGACTCCCMCTGCCACAGCTCTGCTGGCTCCACTGAGCAGGTCACAGGGAATCTGACCAATAAAGAGCTTCACCAGAGAGCACCTCCCTCATAATTCAGAAGCCAAGTTTGGAGGAAAGCAACAAAAACATCCTTTGTGATAGCAGCAGGAAACCCGTGTGCATCTAGATAACTTGCTGACAGATAAGCCTGCCAACAAATCTCCAATGCTAAAAGCTGTAACAGTCTTGTTAAAGGCCAATGGAGATGGAAGTGGTTCTACCTAGACCAGCTCTAATGAGGAGAGGTGATATCAGAGTGTGAATTGTACACTTTGTTCTTGGCTAAACCCTTGTAGAAAACACTGAAAAAAATTCCTGAGGAGTTACCAAGAATTGCCTTGGGCTTTGACAGATTCCAGAAGTAGCAATGGCTGTCAGAGCCAGGTAACTGCTTTGTCCTTGGCATCTGTAGGATGCCAAGAATTAATCCTATCTCAACTTAGACCCACGGACATCTAGGATTTGAGAAAAAAAAAAAAAATCAAACCAGTGTGAAGCTTTGCTGGAGAGCAACARGATAAACCAAATGGACTTGCTGAAAATGCAAGAAGTGGGGAAGGAAGAAGGTGATATGTCGTGTTGAGAGTGTTCCTCCTCTTCTCAATGTGATGACCACATTTTTAAAAATAAATTAAAAATGTATCAGAAATCAACAGAAAATAAAGGGATGCCAAAACTTACACTAAAGGAAATTTCAAGCAGATAAGATTTTTATTTGGAAATAGATTGTTGCTCAGCACAGWTTTAGATAATATGGAAATGCTCACCAACGGAGCCTATTTGTGATGCAGTGCAAAAAAACAAAGGAGGGTGAAGGGTGAATACAGGAAGTTTCTGTGGCTGAAACAATTTCCTAGCAATATCTGGAGCTGGTTTATGTCTGCCTCAGTGAATGATTTGTATCAATAATTTGCTGAGCTCGTAGAATGTGCATGATCATAAATGTGAAGGTATAGAAAGTCACAGGACAAACTTTCAAATTTGCCAGAAAAAACACAGAAAGTTGCTGAGAAATGTCAAGAATACCAAGAGCAAAGCTTTCTCCTGAAATCATATCTGTGTCAGCAAAAAAAAAAAAAAAAAATTGTTGGGTAGCCCCAAGAATGGGGACAACTGGATCAATTTTTTTGATCAAAGAACATGAAGAAAAGTATCCAAAGGTAAGTGGCATCACCAAGTCCTTTATGGTACTACAAGTGTTTTTCTTTCCGTTTTACCACCGATGTGAAGAAGCCAAACTTCTCAGGTCATGCAATCAGGAGTCACAGTTAAGTGTTATTTTATGTCTGCTCAATATCCCAAATGATGAGTAAAATCAGTCATAATCATTGTGAAAGACACASACATTGTGCATTCCTTCCTGATTAATTATTTTGCTGATGCGTCCAAAAATTAGAATGCAAGCATAGGGAAAAATTCCTATAAATTGTTTTTCTAAAAATAAAAAAAAAAAAAAAAATCTGTTGTACATATATGTGTATAGTGCAGATTTTTAGTTATTTATTTGTTTTATGAGTGTRTTTTGAGAGGTAAATAGAACCTAAGTTCTGCAAGGGAAGAATGCATTATCCCTAGAAGACTGATTGTCATTATTAAGGTCATAATTACCACCACTTAGCCACCTCTAAAGTCATGTAATTCTTGTACCTTAATGATACCAACAGAGCTTCTCTAAAATGCCCTAGAACCTGTCATTTTAAGTGTTGCTGTCAGCTGAAATTTTTGCCATTAACTCATCATCTGCTCTGATTAGCACTCTGCTCTGCAYGCACAAAGAACAGCTTCCCAGGGAGCCCAGGGCCTTTTGCAAAGCCTAAATCACAAAAATTTGCATTTGAGCACATTTTAATTCTGGTAATTACAGGGTTAGTACTCTGGGTTGCATCAAGATGAAAATATGAAAAACTGTGAAAAAACCCCTTCTCACACATATCAGGCTCAGTAGTTCTATTGGGAGCCTTTTTGTGGGGCAACAGTGCAGGGTATGGAGCAACTTCACACTTCAGCTGTGGGTGATAGTGCATTTTGTAAGAACAGTTTTCTATTTTGGAASAGTATCTGAGATTATCTGAGGCTAAATTTGGGGTCAACAGTCAATTTATGCTGCTAATGATGCCTATAGATGGTGGTTTTCTTCCCCTTTGCCTTCTCCCCACCCAAGGACTCTATCAGTAATGGAAATTATAAAACATAATGTAGCATATAGATATAGACAATGTTGCACGCCATAAGGGGATGTGCAACAAAAAGGGAAATGCTCTATAAAATGTTTCAGGCTTTGGAGCGTTTTCCTCTGTAATAAATTTCAAACAACTGCAGATCAAAGTGTCTTCCAGGCTTTTATGCAAGAGGACAGGGAGAAAACACGGATTCCCAAACAGCCAGGAAGGAGTAACCCATCCTCCTGCCCAAAGCAGATCCAGAGCTTGTCTTTGAMTGCACTGAAGGATGGAAAATCCACAAAATCAGCGGGCTTCAGGGTCAGACCACCCTCAGAGAGAACCCTTTTCTCCTCCTACTGAGCTGGGATTGTCTGTGTTCCACCACAGAGTGCTCTGGGTAATTTTGTGTTTTGGAATTTCTGCTGGAGCTGTGTCAAGAAGGTTTTAAACCATGACATTGTACTGTAGGTCTTGAAAGCAAAACATTGTGATCCCATGCMTTCAGTGAGTCCCTTAGGGAAAATTCTTAAAATCTCCCAGCCTCTCTCTGGTCCTCCAAATAYATATTTATCTAGGTCCACTGGAATGGTTCTGGATGGGGATGAACAAAGAAATTGTGCAACAAATTGGTAAAAAAATTGGTTAGATTCAAATTGGCAAACTCTGGACGGCACTGCAGAGTAGTAATTTGCAATTGTATAGATTATGATAGATTTATATTAATATATTTTAAATTATTTATATTTTATTTTTATATTTTATAGAATATTTTATATGCATTTATAGATTTTATATATTATTTTCTATATATTTATAGATTATTATAGGATAGATACTCTTAGTTTTGCAAGATCACTTCCTTCCTTAGATGTGTATTCAAAACCACCATGAGACAATCACCAGTCTGATGTTGCAGAACAGTCTTCACTGGTATGAAATATGGTTTTGCACACAAAGATGGCTGTGCTGTATTTATTCATTACTGCTCATTTTTGCTGGCATGTTTTCAGCAGTCTGAGTGATCTCCTGCTTCCTGACCAGCTTTATTTCAGGCACTGTGCTGAACTATGGTCAA